TACTGTTGAGTGGTTGAACCAATGCCCCCTACACCAGAGGCCCCTTCTCTCCCAACATTTCAAACCAGTGCAAGCCCTTGGCTACAAGCAACATCCTCACTCTCCCTATTTCTCTTAACGCTATCACTTCCGTCACTTCCTACACACCCACAATCCTTTCTCCTAAACCCCTAAGTCTGTACGTGCCTCGGCATTTAGAGCCTGGTGCTTTTAGAAGGATAACAAGGATGGGAATGTTAAAATGGTGCAACCACTTTGAAAAATCGTTTGGCAGTCTACCATAAACATATACTTACCACACACTCCGGCAATCTTGACCCTGGGTATTTATTTACCCAAGACAAGTGGAATGTAGGTTCCCAACGCTCTCACTAAAACATGTTCGCCTGTGTTTATCGCGGCTCCATTCATAATCGCCCAATCTGGAAGCATCCTAAATGTCCTTCAACTGGGAGATGGATAAACAGGCTCTTGTCTAACCAACCCACGGAATACTATGCAGCACTGAAAAAGGACGAACTACTGATACAACAACATGAAGAGATTGCAAAGGCTGCGTAAAAGAAGCTAGACTCAAATATTTGTAGGACCTTCCAGAAAAGGCAAAACTATAAAGATGGAGAACAGATTAGTGCTACCAAGGGGGGATGACTCGAAGAAGCACTAGGAGGTAATTTGGGGTGACAGAACTGTTCCCTACCTTGATTTTGGTGGTGGCTACATGACTGTTTGCATTTGTCAAAACTCACAGAACTGTACACTAAAAGGGAGTGAATTTGCTATAAGTAAAGCATACCTCAATTAACCTGATTTTTGAGAAAAAGGAAAAAAAAAGGGTAGCAGGATGCATCTATGATGTGACCTGAATATTCCAGATGCAACCCACAGACAAGCAGCATGGGCAACCCTTAGAAGCGTGTCGAAAAAGCAGACTTCCAGGCCCACCTGAAACTTGCTGGACCAGGATCATCACTTTAACAACACAATCCTCATTCACACAAAAGTTCGAGAAGCAAACGTATACGTAACACTCCCAGTGGGAGTTTGGAGCACCCCGTTATCAAGCATAGCTAACATTTCTGCAGCAGAACACACCAAAATGCACACCAGATGGGATAAATTAAGACTGTACATTAAGACTATAAACTCCGGTCAGTTCAAGGTATGTTTTTGATGGGATGTCACCTTTGTAGGAAAAAAAAAAAAAAAAACCAATGGAAAAAGCCACGCTAATTCTTACTTCCCAGAATTTTGCTCTTGTGGAAATACCAGCCATGCTGATCTAGTAGAGGGATCTATGGGTCATACTGTCCTGCCCTCTATGGTAGCATCTTCTAGAAAATTCTACTTTTTCAGGACAGACCAAGAGTCTGATAACATGCTTCAACTTCTCCCAGAGCTCCCTGTATTTTTCATGTAGGACAGGTGTCTTTAAAGAGTCTAAGCTGGAGGAACGCCAGTCAGACAATGTCCATAGGTTACCTGACGTGACAGGACCCTGGGCTTCTTTCTTGTTGCGATTCCCAAAAACACAGATGAAAAGCCAGAATCCTGCGTGTGGTTCAGGAGACTGAGTGTGATGACATACAGACCTGGGTCAGTGGCTTTTGCAATGGCCTAAATTCCTACACCCTGCTCCACGAGAGAACTGCTGGCATCAGCAGGACTGGGGGAAGATGACATTCACAGTGGCGCCTGGTGGCACATTAGAAGGAGCAACTGGAATTAAGTGGGGGCTCTAGGAAGGTTGACAGATGCACCTTATTGAGCTGACAGATTTGAGCTCTTTAGAAGCCATCATCAGAGCCCGTCATGGCCATATTTAAATCAGACTTCCAATCAACGAAAACATGGAACCAAGGTGTGTGGTCAAGATGGCCGCTGCCCGGTCTACTCCAAGAGCAAAGGGCACCAGGGTCAATGTGAACATCCAAGACTTCCATTTGGGTTTTCTTACTTGGGAAGAGAAAAAATTAATGAGAATCCTCAATTCTCATTGCTGGCTTCAAGCTTGCGCTGCTGGGGGTTGAGGGGTGTAAGAAATCAGAGTGACAAAGTGCCCATGAGCATGGGGCTATTAAGGCTGAGCCCTCCACCAGCACGCCACGCTGGAACTGGTATCTGGAAGTAACTTCACACTTTTCGGCCCTACGAGCACACCACCGTGTGTATGGAACCAGCACTCACTCCTCCTCCAAAGGCAATCAGGAGGCTGCTTTCCAAATTCACCTGCAACCCTTGGTCAATGCTGTGTCTACGAACACACACAAATCAAAGAATGGCAGGGCCAATTCCACTGCTAGGTAGAGACCCGAGAGAAATGAAAAGTAAAGTTCAACAGAAGACGCCTACAGGATGCTTCCTACAGCAAAATCTGGTTACTACCCCAGCGGCCCTCAATGGAACGGGCAAGTGCCCTGTGTTAGAGTCACACAACCAGATATGACACAGCGATGAGAAGAAATAACCTGCAACTACTCAAAGCAACATCGATGACTCTTGCCGAGCTGAAGAAGCCAGGTACAAAGTAACATAGCGTGCGACTCCATTTCTAGGAGGATTGCCAGGAGGCACAATGAGCCTGTGGGGAGGGCAGATGTCAGGGTAGCAGTTATCCTTGTGGGGGAATGACTGAGAGGGGACATAGGGGGAGTTCCTGGGGGCGGGGGCTGGTCACATCCTTTTTCTTGACCTGAGTGCCAGCTGCATGCTCGAGTTCACTTTGTGAACACTTCTTAAGCTGGACTCAACTTGTGTACTTTCCCATACATATATCAGACCTTATTCTAAAAGTTCAGAATAAGTACTTAAACGCTTTTTTTTTTTTTCAAATGACAGAAGTATGTGGATATAGAAGCCGATGTTCCACCCTGGTACCCTGACTGACTCCTTGGCATTTCCACCTCCTTGCACTGGCCCCGATTTCCTTATCCAGCCTCCCAGCTCTCTGTCCCTGCCCCTCTCATCCCCTTAGAGAAAGCTCAGTCCTGGGCAACCTGCTCAGTGCCAGACTGGGGGATAGAGAGCTTTGCCATCCAAAGTGGGGCTGCATAATGTGTTTGCTGCCTCGGGCCAAAGAGAGAACAAAAGCTGTCTGCAGAGAGCAAAATGCACAAACTCATCAAAAAGCTCCCAGAAGCAAGAAAGCCAAAGAAAACCTAAGTACCCACCTGCACCCTTCCCCCAAGCAATCCCCTCCCTCCCCAACGGCCTCTGCTCTGCAAGATTCAGGCTGGACCAGGGTGAGCTAAAGACACGTTAGGACTCCCACCTCCCTCCTCCCCTCTTAAAAGAGGCCAAATCCAGGATCCAGAAGGCGACCTAAAGCCATTTTCAACTTGGAAACCTGTCAGCCCAGTGAATTCCTCTGGATACTCCCTGGAATTAGCTGAGCTATCCTCCAAGACCCCATCACTCCTCCGGGAGTAGAGGGGGAGGCAGACAGAGTGATTACGAGACCCCTGAGTGATTCAGTGAGGCTTTAAGAGGTTGGAACTTGCCGGCAAAGACCTGGCTCTTGCCTTGGGCATCCATCCTGGTTAGAGGTACGCCCCTCCAGAAGGCCCCCGCTGAACCTCTTCTTAATTTTCACCATCCTCAAAGTAGACTTTTCACACACTCTAAAAGCTCAGTGCCCTCTGACAATTTCGGCATCCAGAAGCCAAAAGCATGGCTCAACTCTAAGCCCCCTTAAAAGTGAATCCACCCACCATTGCGCTCCTCAAATAACCAACCTCAGGACCACCTAGGGCCCAGCCCTGTTGAGTATGTAAGAGTCAAAACCACATACAGAAAGGATGGGGGCTCACCGCTGAGCCCCAGGGACTCATGTAGCCCTGTTCATTTTTACACTGAGGGCAGCCAGTTGGAACCATGCCGAGAAGTGGCACATTCAGGCATGGCATGGTGGCCAGTCAGCCTGGGGAGCAGGGTGCATCCCCCTACTTGGAATCTGGGTCATGCTTAGATAACTGCTAGAAAGCCCGACTAATTACCCATCCTTGCCTGCCTACATCTCAACAGATGTTAAGCCCTCCTCAAGGTTTATTTCAAGCAGGCACGATTTAAAGAAACACGAGAGGATCTGCATTTTGATAGCATCTGAATAGAGGAAAATGTGGTCTTCACCTTCCTCTGTATCTTTGATTAAAAAAAAAAAAAAAAAAAGACGTTTACCTGCCCAAGATGTCCATATGGGTGCTGATTTTCCTGGTGTCCCCTCCCGGCTCCCTAGGGTGGGAGAAGCTGAATCCAATCCAAGGCCTGACACAGCCCCTTAGGAAAGACCCAGCATCTCATTTTCTCCTGCCCATCTTTTTGAAAGAACCCATCCTGGGGCTTCCGGGTCAGGGCCCCAGATGGGGACATTGGGATGTTTCCTACACCCCAAAAGATGATGGGAGGAAATGGGACCTACAGACATGGGGAGTTAAGTGCCCCCCAAGCCGTCGGTGTGAAGGCCACATGTTCTCCCCCTCACTCCTGGCCATGGGAAGCCCTAAACTCCCTGAGTGTGGCTCCCACCTCGGGGAAGGCCGGGTGGACAGGCCAGCGAGCTGGGACTATGCTCCAGCACTGGAGCAATCACGGATTCCAGCGAGGGGCGGCTAAGGAAACCCAGCCAAGGCCCCCGGTTCCCCGGTACCCCGGTTCCCCTGCCCTGGCCCAGCTCGTTCGGGAGAACTCTGACCCCTCAGGAACTGACTCCAAAGGCCCCACTAAGGCCCCTGCACGACCCCAGGGCCCAGCCCTCATTCCGGAATGGGTCCTTTGGAGGAATCCACTCCCACGGCCCCCCCACCACCACCCAAAGCCTCCACAGTAGCTCATCCCAGCTCGGGGTGGAGAGATTTCGCACACTCCTCCCCGGTGCCCCCTCTCTCAGCCCCTGGAAGACCCCCCCAGCTCCCATCAACCCCCGGGTCTCCCTCCTAGCCTGGAAGAGGGGAAGCGGAGGGAGGAGGGGGAAGCGCAGCTGCTAGGCTTCGGGCAAAGGATATGGCCATTCGGTGATCTTTTTGGCGTATTTTCTCACCACGTTGTCCTCGCTGAAGAGGAACAGAGACCGGTTGACCGTGAGGCAGTTCTGTCGGACGGGGATGGGGTTGTAGAGGGCCATGGTCCGCGCTCTCTGCGCCATTGACTGCTTGTACATCCTTTGCGCCCCGGGCTGCCCGCCCTGCCGGCTGCCCCCGGCTCCTCGCCCGCCTCCGGCGCCCACGACCACCCCGGCGGCTGCCCCGGAGCCTCCTCCCCCGTAGCGGGCCGGCATCTCGTCTCCGAAGCGGGCCATTCTGCAAAGAGCAAAGGGCTCCGGGTTACGCTGCGGCGAACGATGCGGAAGACCCTAGCCTACAGAAGTGTTAAATTTCTGTTGTTTAAGCCACCTAGTCTGATATTTTGTTTAGGCAGCCCTATCCAACTAATACAGGCACATATCCATAAGTGATACGACTACATCAAGCCTATAAATGTTTAACATCTGGATTCATGTTGCCATTATATTTTCCAGAAAAAGTATGATGATTCCTGTTTTATTATGTACTCCCCAAAAATTGTTCCTTCTGTGATGTTTTAAAAAAAAATTAAAAGGAAGGAAGGAAAGAAGAAGGGAGGGAGGGAGAGAGAGAGAGCGAGAGAGAGAGAGAGAGAGAGAGAGAAAAAAAAGAAAGAAAGAAAGAAAAAGAGAAAAAAAAATAAAAAACGGCACTTGGAAAAAAAAAAAAAAAACCAACGCACACCCCCTTTAAGACGCGAACGGTTTGCAAAGGACGCCCCCCGGGACGCAGTGGAAGCTTCAAATTCCTCCGAGGTCTGGGTCAGGCTGGCATCTTGCAAAAGTAGTGCGCTCGGCCCATTTTTTAAAAAAATGTATTAGGAAAAAAAAAATAAAAGCCAGGTCTTTGCTGGGGGGAGGGCAGCCCAGCAAATTAAAAATTGCCCTTTTTGTTTTGCTTGAGTTCCTAGACCTAAAAAAGATGCCGAAAGATCCGTAGCCCAAAAATAAAAGTAAAGAATATGAGCAGGGAAGGAGAGAAGGGGAGAGGGAGGGAAACGCTCCTGGGGGCTCTTATGGAGTCCTGAGGCCGCAGGGTCCGGTGATATTTTTTTCCTTCCTGAATCACCAGCAGCTGCCTCTTCTGTTGAGTGTGAGTGTGCGTGTGCGCGCAGCGGTTCGCTCAACCGTGCCTCATCTTGGGGTTAAATTGCAGCAATGAAATCCTGAAAATTCCCAGTAGGGGAAAAAAAAAAGAGAGAGAGAGAGAGAGAGAGGTATGCGCCGTCGCTTAGCCACTCAATAGCTGCTCCCGGATGCTGCAATGCCTGGCGTTCCCTCCTCCCCCACTGAAAGCCTCCTCCTCCTCCTTCTCTAGGTTTTGCTAAAATAAGACTGGTGTGGAGGGGTGAGGGGAGAGGAAGGAAAGGGGAAAATGGGCGCAAAGGTCTGAACCACTGGGCAGCCAAGCTCCAAAGAGGAGCGATTGATGAGTTGAACGCGAAAAAGACCCACCCAAGTGTCGACACATGATGGCCCGCGACCAATCGCGGAGGCGCGAGGGGACCTGGCTCCGCGGAGTTTGTGGGGGAGAGGGGCGAGCCGGATAGTCGGGAGGCTGGGGGAAAGTTGAGACGAGAGATTCCTCTCCAGGGAGGAAACCTTGTTTTACGACGGGTTCTGCTTCGGTTGCAAGCAACCGGACGTTTCCAGCATCTTGCAAGCAGAGGGAAGGAGGGAAGAAGGAAACAACTTCAAAGACAGAAAAAGAAGGGGTTTGGTGTCTAGAAGTGCAATTAGTCCATCTCTACACAAATGTAGTCTATTTAACCAAAGACCATTTCATTTCTGAAAACAGGGTGAAAGGTTTCTGTCAAATTTTCAAATCACAGAGGCCCCAACAAACTGGAATAAAAGATTTACCTCATCTTTGAAAAGACCCCAGAGGTGGCAGATGTTAACTGCCAGGAGCAGATAACTAACCAGGAGCTGGTTGATAACTAACAACCAGCTAACAAGATAACCAACAAGATAACTAACAGAGCCTCTGGGTGATATACTTTATATGGTGTTCACTTCTCACTAGAGCCACTGGCATTTTACTTCCTATTCCCCTTTTTATATTGTAAAAGTGAATAAACAGAAAAATGCCTAAAGCCTAAATGTACGGTTTAAGAAACTGTTGTGAAATGAACACTTATAAAACTAACACTCAAGTCCAGGGTTAGAAATAGAACATTGCCCGCTCCCCAGAAACACAAATGCCCTTTCCCTCAGCGTTAATCACTATCCTGACTTTATGGTATTAATAACCTTGCTTTTCTTCATACTTTTACTACCTTGTGTATTCTTAAACAATACAGTTTTACTTTGCATCTTTTTGGGTTTTATATAAATGGAGTCATAGAGTATGTATTCTGTGAGGTCTTTCTTTGGCTCACCACTATGTCCTTAAGATTCATCTGTTATGTGTAGCTGAAATTGATTCACTTTCACTGCTGTATGGTATTCCACTGAAAGTATGCCACAATTTGTTTATCCATTATCCTGTTAGTGGACATTTGAGTTAGTTCCAGTTGAGGCTCTTAAACATCTCTGCCTCCCGGTACTTTAAGCATGCCTCTCTATAGGAATAGTTCTGGGTATGGAATTTCTGGGTCACAGGATATGCGCCTTTTCAGGTTTGTAAAGTGTCACCTGTCTTCCAAAGTGGATATTCCAAGAAACCACTGAATTTTCACAAAACAATATATAGACTGGAAGACAAGGGTGGGGAAGAGGGGAAGAGGAAGAGGATGAAGAAGGCAAATAATTTTTTCAAGCCTTAGCTAGTTGGAGCCTAGTTAATAACTCCCCCATCAGTATTTGGGTTCATTTGGAACATTTTAGAAAAGATGATATGTCTTTATGTAAATTCCCCATCCTGTGCTTGTGTGTAGGGCTTTATAGGTTGCCCACAGCACCTTCAAGATTTTCTAACTGGTCAAGATATGGACGAAATGATGAAACCTAGAGTGAGCGATCAGAGTCACAAGGAGATGGGGTGTATCGAAATCTCAACAAATTATCAACGACTTTTGTACTCGATGTTGTTTCATATCTCAAAGGCGAATGATGAAATGAAACAAAAAGTAATTCCATGTGAATGGATGTAAACAGCCAGTTGTATAAGAAACTATACTGTGCAAAGTGTACTTAAATATAACTCATTTTGATGGACTTTGAAACCATTGAGTTTCACAGCATGCGGGTTACCTGCAGGGATTTTTAAAAAAACCCAGAGCTTCTCAGGAAAGAGCAACCAGCAGAGTCTTCACAGAAGCCCCCACTTTACAGATAAAAACACTGAGGCTGAGAGAGGTTTAAAATCTTGCCTAGGCCACTGACATGGATCTGAAACCACTTCTGACTCTTAGACTCTGTTAAGTAGAGTGTAATTTGGTATTACTGCTTCGGAAAACTCTTTGGCCATTTCCACCATCACTGAATATTTGAATACCCTGTGACCTAGCATTGGCACACCTGAGCATAGATTCAGGAGGAATGAGGATGTCTGTCCACTAAGACACACCCTAGAATGTGAAAGCTGCATATTCATACCAGCTAAAAATTGGGAGCTTCCCAAATGTTTATCAATAACAGAATAGATCAATATGCTGTGTAACATTCACACACGGAGCCCTCTGCAGCAATGAGAACGGGCGGTCTGCAGCTACACAAACATGAGTTTGAATCAAAGAAGGCACATGGTGTATCATTCCTGTTATATACAGTTCTGAATTATCAAAACCAATCTATGCTGTTAGATGTCAAAGTACTGGTCACCCTTGAGGCTAGGGGGCCTTCTGGAAGCTTCTCATTCTGGGTCGTCATTTAAAAAGTTTGTTTGCTTTGTAAATTTTGTGCATTTTCCACATTTTTATTAAGTTGTACACCTATGAACTGTGCAGTTTTCTGTGTGGTTTATATTTCAATAGAAAATGTTTGTAATGCTCCTGAATGTAGACCCCCATACCCAGCAGCACCACTCGTCATGGTGATCTGTGATAACCCTCCGTGTGCACTTACACCACGAAGTCCCTACAACAAACTCCCACCTCCTTTTTACCAGAAGAGAAAGAGCAGTCCTCCAGGATGCCTAAGTCATATCTAGACAGCGGATAAGCCGGTTGCACATCAGAACTGATTCCTTAGACCTCCCTCCCCCTGATTTTCACTGAGCAAATCCATGGGGTACAGCTGGGTTCAGTAATCACTGCTCTGGAAGGGACAAACTTACCAGCCCTACCTTTGCATTCTCTAGTGGCGGTGGCATTTTTGATGGAACAGTTCTTGCTGTTCGGAACTGTCCTATGCATTGTAGGGTGTTTAGTACCCCTAGCATGTGCCCGCAAAATGTCGGCAGCACCCCCCCAGTCTTGTGACAAGCAAAGATACCCATACACATTTCCAAATACCACCCCCCCATCAAAATGGCAGAAGAGCATATACGTTTCACTCACCAAATAGCATTGCCAGAGCTTGCCTATGAAATTTGACATGTTGTAGTTCCCCTCTCCTTCCTCAGAATCTTCCTAAGTCCTCCATGCCCCAATCGCTCAATCCTCCTTTCCCAGAAAGAATCAACTCTTTCACCTAAAGTGTGACAGAGCTCCAGGTTCATTTTCCTTACGGAGTTACTTTACAGAGAACAAAAAATTTATTTGGCCGAAGGAATGAATCTCTAATATTGAAATCTTATTATCACCTGGCAAATGAGCATGGATGAGCAAGATATCTTCATAGGTTCCTCAGATGACTGCAGTAGGTAGTTCCTTGCCCGCTATTCATCCAAATTACTAATGTTGACCAGGTAGAAAGATTTAGAATCTCATTAGCATCAAAGACAGAAGCAGTTTAACAGCAGGCCTCCAGAAATCAGTCTCAGCCATTGGTTCTAATCTTTAACACATCTGCCAGCTGGAGGTTTAATTTATCAATCAGCAGCAGCATTACCATCTTGGCTTTGAGCATGTTATTCAATTGAACAGGGCTAGCATCTCTGAAATAAGTGCTCCAAATAAATAACTGCAGATCGCATTCGTTTGGCGGATTAAACAATTACCAGCTAATCCAGTCATGTTGAGGTGCAAGAATGGATGAGGCAAAAGACATTTGGTCTCTGCCTTCTGGTCTGGATACCCGTCAGGAATGAGAACCAAGATCTTTGGGAGTTGGAGAGTATAAATGACAAAACCCCAATCTCGTAATCCAGATATTTGCAGGTCATGATATAGGCACTCAAGAATGATACAGTG